CGTGTCTGACTCTTTGTGATCCCATGGACTGCAGCCCACCAGGCTCCTCTGTTCATGGGATTCTCCAGGCAAGAATACTGGGTGGGTTGCCATTTCCTCCTCCAGGGCATCTTCCCAACCCAGGGATCCAACAAAGTTCTCCTACATTGCAGGCAGATTCTTTACCATCTGAGCTAAAAACAAAAAAACCCCAATGCAGCAAAAAGACAGAACCATGTAGTCTGCAGGAGAAGAGAAACCAGATAAAGGAACTCTATCCAAAACAGCCATCAAAATTTAAGTGCTTTTTTTTTCAGATGCAGTAAACCCACTTCTAGAAATTCATCCTTAGGAAAGCCTAGAACCGGACTGAAGGCTGGAAATCATTTGAGTATCTTTCAGTGGGGAGGTGGTTATGATATGTACATTATGTTATGAAATTGATATGGCCAATGAAGTAATATGCAGCCACACACACACAATGAGGGAGAGAAAGAGAGATTTTTTTTCTAAGTTGAAATCTTTTGTTTTACTAGATTTTTTAAATTTAGTATTATTTGGCTGCACCAGGTCTTAGTTGCAGCCCTTGGGATATTTCACTGTGACAGACTGTCTAGCTTCGGCTTGCCAGATTAGTTGCTCTGCAGTACATGGGATCTTAGTTCCCTGACCAAGGATTGACCCCATATCCCCTGCATTGCAAGGCAGATTCTTAACCACTGGACCACTAGGGAAGTCCTGAGAGATAGACATTAATGTCGCAAAAGCTAAAGATGGATGATTTGGATAATGATGATGTTTGATTGGGTCCATATAACATTTTTTTAAAGTGTGAGCAACATTAAAATATCAAGTGATTGTACTTAAACACCCAGATTTCAGGTAGCTCTTGCTTTCCATTCCTCCTGGGCACCAAGTCCTAAAGCCAAGGAGCGGCTGCCCCCTTTAGATGAGGCTTGTATCCCCCTGCCAGTCTCCGCCACTCCCTGTTGCCTCCCTGACCCTGAGTCTGGGGTCAGGGCAATGGTCACTGTCCTTGTATTATAGCTTCCCTTAGCGAAATATTGCACTATTCTCTGTCTTTGTCAAAAACAGAGAAACAAAAGGCAGACTACAGGAGCCATATATCTCAAAGAAAATGAGAGGGAGCCTATTTCTTTGTGAAAAGGAAGACTGTGCCTCTGAGTTTCACTTGCAAATCCTGGGGCAATTCACTTATTTATTGTTTAGTATTATACATTATTTTTTATTGATGTTGATACATTACTTACCTGGACCCTGTTGGCATTTGGGGTTTGCTACCCTTGATTAATACAATAGTAACATGATTCTTTTTTCCCCCTTTGGCTAAAATGACGACAGCCACAAAATTAAAACAAATTCCTTGTACATATATTTATATACACAGTGCGTGAGTGCGTGCTAAGTCGTTTCAGTCGTGTCTGACTCTGTGCGACCCCATGGACTGCAGCTGCCAGGCTCCTCTCTCCATGGGATACGCCAGGCAAGAATACTGGAGTGGGTTGCCATTCTCTTCTCCAGGGGATCTTCCCGACCCTGGGATCAAACCCACGTCTCTAAGGTCTCCTGCATTGGGAGGTGGGTTCTTTACCCCTAGTGCCACCTAGGAAGCCCCTGTATACCCAGGACATACACGAAATGGCAACAGTGATTATCTAGACTTAAGGAAGACCTATCCATTTTTATATTATGTACTTCTAATATTTCCTGTTTCTTAGAGCAAATATATAGTTTTGTGATTTTTTTTTAAAGATTATAATTTAAAAAGTGATAAGTGAAAACTCTTGGCTGAGGGAAGCTTTCACAAGAAGTTGTAAGACTTATCTCTCTTTATCTTGACAAGCCTGGGGGAACAGGCAAATGTAGTAGAACCTGAGCAACTAGAATGCCCACAGGAAAATATACCTTTTCTGTCCTAAGCACCAAGAAGAACCTGTATCAGGAAAGGGAAGACAGCTACCAGCTACTGGAAAGTGACTGCCAGACTCTGGGCATGCTGGTTGTGCTAACTTACAGAATTCTTGTGCCAATTTGGGGGGTGGTGTTAGCATTCTTCCTCCTTTTTTTTTTTTTTTTTCTGGCTGCATGTCATGTCTTGTGGGATCCCCAACCAGGGATCGAACCAGGGCCCTTGGCAATGAAACTGCAGAGTCCTAACCACTAGACTACCAGGGAATTTCATTTCCTTCCATCCTTCCATTTTTAAAAGCAGTTTTATTCAGGTATACATGATATGCCATCGAATTTGCCCATTGTAAATGCTATGATTTTTCACTTTTTCATTGAAAAAGTCACCTTTTCAATGATTTTTAGCAAATGTGCACTTGTACCAGCCTCATTGCAATTCAATTTTAGAACATTTCCATTACTCCAAAAAGACCCCTGATGCAAATTTGTGGTCATTTCCCATTCCCAAGTTCCAGGCCACCTCTCATCTGCTTTCTATCATTTCCACCTTTTCTGGACATATCATATAAATGAAATCAGACAATATGTGGTCCTTTGCTTTTGGCTTCTTTCACCAGATCTGTTTTGAGTTTCATTCATGGTGTTGCCTGTATTAGCACTATGCTCCTTTGGAGAGCCAAATAGTGTTCTCTTGGCTGGAGAGGCCATAGCTCCCTCCCCAGCCGATGGACATTTGTTATTCCCACCTCTTGCCTGCTGTAATTCTTGCCGCTATGAATGCTCCTGTACAAGTCTTTGCGGGGTATGTACTTTCATTTCTCATGGGTAGATACCTAAGAATGGAATTTCTGGGTTGTATAGGAGAACCCCAGGGATGGAGGAGCCTGGTGGGCTGCCGTCTATGGGGTCGCACAGAGTCGGACATTACTGAAGTGACTTAGCAGCGGCAGCAGCCTAGTAGACGTACGTTTAATTTTTTAAGGAACTGCCTAACTGTCTACGAACATGGCTGCACCATTTTATATTCCTTCCACCTGTATAAGGCCCTGGTCTCTCTTGCCAGCCCTTTGCGTTTGAAGACTATTCAAATGGAGCTGGGAGGAGAAAGACTTGCCAAAATCACGCAACAGGGAATGGCAGAATGGAATTTGAACCCAGGTTGACCTGACTCTACAGGCTGTGTCTTTCCCCTGGTCTGCTCATGTGAACGGACTTGCACAAAGTTCAGGAGTTGGAGACTGTAAAGAGGTTGATCTCTGGGGTCTGCCAGGCTGGGGTTCCAGGAAAAAGAACCTGTAAGAGGGGGCTTGGAGAAGTCGAAGGAGTAATTGCAGAGGGCTCCTCAGCAAGCGCTGACTCAAACCTCCACTAGGGGGCGCGGGGATCCAGCATCGGCTGGAGATGGGCCTCTGTCAGAGAAGGCAGCCATGGAGGCCAGCCAGCCTGGTCTTGGCCTTCAACAGTACACACTGCCTGGCACTGGGTGACCTTCTCTGCCCCAGCCTGCATTTCCAAGCAGCCATGCCCCTGCCCCAGACATTCTGTTTTCCTGTTTGGGCCTGGATATGTCCCCTTTTAATGGCTTCTCTGGTGGCTCAGTGGGTAAAGAATCAACCTGCAATGCAGGAGACACAGGAGACGTGGGTTCAATCCCTGGGTTGGGAAGGTTGCCTGAAGGAGGAAATGGCAACCCACTCCAGTATTCTTGCCTGGAGAATTCCATGGACAAAGGAGCCTGGCGGGTTACAGCCCAAAGGGTCCCAAAGATTCAGGCGTGACGGAGCAGCTAAGCGCGCATGTCCCCGTTTCCCCCATCCTCGGCCTCCATGGGAGGAAGGATGGGCTCTCCTGTCCCAGCCCCAGGGCCTCCACCTCTTTCTGCCAACTTCAGGGTTCACATGAAACCCTAGAGGACTGAAGGAAGAGACAAGGTCCGTCTGCTGGCTGCCTCAGAACCGTCTGTCCTACAGCTCACTGTTGGTCTTGCCTCAAGACGGATGCCCAAGTGTGACCTCTCCATCTCAGAGAGGGTTGGCCAGCAGGTGGCGCAGTAGCCCCTGGGATCCTCACTCCCTCACCCATGACTCACCTTTGTAGAATGATGACTGGCCCCAGAAGGCAGTCCCATGGACAAGTGTCTAGACCACCCATCCATGTCTTCTTTGCAAATGATCTGGAAAAAGGGAGGAAGAACAAGGTGTGCATTTATTGGGCACCAACTACATGCCAAAGCTCTTTCATTTTTTTGACCCTCATAACATCCCTGAGAACTAAACACTCAACTTTCCCCTGAGAAAACAGACTCAGAGGTCAAATAGCTCACCACACATCTCATGGACTAAATGGTAAGGCTCTGGTCCTACCTATTGCACTCAGTAAACTTAATGGGTAGGTGGTGCCCGGGACAGTGTCAGGCATGGGGAAATGACTGTGCCTCACTGAGCTGCAGCCACCCCATCTGTAAAATGGGGCTACCAGACTCATGTTGTGCAGATGAGATGAGATCCCCACGTGAGGGATTCGCATGGGGCCTGGCCTGGCAGGGATGAGCAAAGAGATGGTTAGATTATTTCGTGGGACTGGGAAATTTTCCAGGCTAGTGATCAGAGCCTGCTAGTTTCCAGTTTCCTCTAGCCCCCTGGAAGTGTTGCTATTTTTGATGTTCTGATCTTCTGCCATTTGGGTCTGTCCCCGACTGCTTCTTAGGAGACAGAGGAAGGGTAGAAACCCTAGAGGACCTGAGAGTCCTGCTCTTCTGGGGCAACCCCCAAATCCACTGCTGACTGTGCAGCCTCAGGGGGCAAATTCCAGCTGGCATGATGGACCCTAGCAGAAAAATGTCTAGGGTCCCCTAGGCCTCCTTCTGCCCGCCCTCTTCATTGCTGCCTCCCTAGAGCCTTACCCATCCTTCAAGGCTGTCGGGCATCCCCTTCCAGGCAGCCTCCTCACGAGTCTGCCAGCCCTCATGGCTCAATGCTCAAGGCATTGTGGGAACCGGAAGCCTGGGAGCTCTGCCCAGGGGAGGAGCAGGGATCCCCTGGGGACAAGCCCTGGCTGGCACGATGCAAGCTGTGGTCTCCCCGACCCTGCAGAGGAGGCGCTATGGACGACTCGGGCCGACGGGCGCGTCCGCCTACGCATAGACCCCATCTGCTCGCAGACTCCCCGCACTGTTCATCAGATGTTCTCCACGACTCTGGACAAGTATGGGGACCTCAGTGCTATGGGCTTCAAGCAGCAGGGCACGTGGGAACACATCTCCTACACCCAGTACTACCTGCTGGCCCGCAAAGCCGCCAAGGGCTTCCTGAAGGTGAGGGAGCTGCCCAAAGGCCTGGCCTCTCCCTTCCCCAGCCCTGCCTCCACTTCTGGCCTTCACAGACCTCCTTCCGGTGCCCCACTGGGCAAACCCTTAGAAAGGACCACTGTAAAAATCATCCTGGTCATTGAGCTAATGGTCCATTCTGGCTTGGAGCCGAGGGTTTACGTACAGTGGACCCTTACTATGTGCCAGGACGTGGCACGAACTTCTTATTCGTTGTCCCGCTCAAGGGGGGCTGGGAAGCCTGGTGCACTGCGCTAGAGGTGGGCACCCCAGGAAGGCCTGGGAGGGGCAGCAAGGGCTGTTGAGTGGCTGGTCCCCCAGGGCACACTCTGACCCTGGGAGCTGGTCCCTGAGGTGGGCCGGCAGAGTCCCCTGTTGTCTGGAAGGGGGGTTTGGTGAGAATGAGAGGCCCCTTTCCTGCTGGTTGACCCGGCCTGTCTATCTTTGGCCTGTAGCTCGGCCTGGAGCGGGCCCACAGCGTGGCCATCCTCGCCTTCAACTCCCCGGAGTGGTTCTTCTCAGCAGTGGGCGCAGTATTCGCAGGGTGAGTGGCTGCGGGAGGGGCAGAGTCTCCGGTGGGTTGGAGGGGGGCAGAGAGTGAAGAGAGGGTTTTTATCTCTTTTTAGGTGCCCCTCACCCCCTCCCCAACATCCCATCTCTTCCCTGGGGCCCTCTCCAGACCTGCTTTTGTCCCCTTCTGCCCAGGGCAGCTGTGCTGAGCTGCCTGGCCAGCCACGGGAGCTCTCTGGGGTCAGGGGCTGTGGGTGTGTTGGGCAGGGGTCGGGGCTGAGGGGTTGGGCCACTGTACTCGCCCAGACACACATCCTCCCGGGTCTCTGACAGTGGCATCATCACCGGCATCTACACGACCAGCTCCCCTGAGGCCTGCCAGTATATCGCCTATGACTGCCGCGCCAACATCATCATGGTCGACACACAGAAGCAGCTGGAAAAGATCTTGAAGGTTTGGGGGAAAGGGGGCAACAACCACGAGGGTCAGGCTAGGCATCCTCACAGACCTCCACCTTCCCTGTCAGAGTCACCCATCATCCTCAACAGCAATCCTGCCTGGCACACGCACACATCAGCGCAGCAGGGCAATGGCCACCGACCCATTTGTCAGGTCTGAAAACTGAGGCCCAGGAAGCTCAAGGAACATATCCCTCATCCCCCCCAGCCAGCCCATGAGGGTGGTTCAGGGCTCTGACACGTGAGCACCCAAGTATGAGTCTCGGTGGGGAGTGGGGGTACAGGCTGCCACAGGGTGGGTCTTGGGCCAAGCCAGAGCAAGTGCTGCAGCATATTCTAGAGACTGTAGGGCACAGTAGGAGCTCAAAAGTGCCTCTTGGGGCAGCTGGCACTTTCTGGAGCACTGATGCCTCCTGATCCATTTAAGGCCCCTTCCTGATTGGCCCTGTCCCCATGTGCACCATGCTGGCATTCAGTGGCCTGAGGACACCTCTGTGCCCCAGCTGTACCCAGCAGCCTACAAGGCCCTCCGTGGCTCCTGGCATCTCAGAGAGGCTTCCTCCAGGTTGACTTGGCCCTGGTTCTGAAGCTGTCACCTGGACCTCAGACACCCCTGCACCTGAATGTGGGAGAAGTGGTCTCCAACCTCCTGGGATAGTGGGACCTGGGGCCCCGGACTGGTCAGACTAGATGGCCTCCCTTAACTCAAGTGGAGAAGGCCTTTTCCATCTCCACTCCTTTTGAACCCTGTGTTTCCACGATTCTCTCATTCCGAGTGCCTCCGTTCTATCTGACTTGGATCAATGCTTGAGTTGGGGAGAGGCAGTCTGGATGCAGAGGAGGTGGTCCAGAGTGAACCGCTCTGAGAGGCTGAGGTGAGCCCGGCCTGTCCTTAGCACCCCCTTCCTTGCCCTCCCCAAGCACTCAGACCCTTCACTTAATAGAGTGTCCCAAGTCACTTCAGTTGTGTCCGACTCTCTGCGACCCTATGGATTGTACCCTGCCAGGCTCCTCTGTCCATGGGAATTCTCCAGGCCAGAATACTGGAGAGGGAAAGAAGCCTTTCCCTTCTCCTGGGTAATCTTCCCAACCCAGGAATTGAACCAGGGTCTCCTGCATTACAGGCGGATTCTTTACCAGCTGAGATCCAAGGGAAGCCCTCACTTAATAGAAAGCTGACAAATATTTAGAGAATAGTGCACAGCAGGGGTGTACCAGGCCCCTAGGACTCAGTGGGGCCCTGATTCGCTCAGGTTTAGATTCTTCGTAGATGCCAGAGGCCACTGACCCAGGTTCCCCCCAGGCCAGCTTTCCAGGAGACTCCAGTGGTTTAAGATTCCTTGAGAACCAAGTTGGCAGGAGCCTCAGCTGCTAAGTAGCAATGGTTAGTTCACCTCCTCAGCCTCACCCGAGGGAATCACATACCCCTCAACGTGGGCACTCAGGTTGGGGAGGGTGGTAGAACTATAAAAAGCCCCCCGTAGTGACTTCCCTGGAGGCCCAGTGCTTCCAATGCAGGGGGCGGCACAGGTTCGATCATTGGTTGAAGAGCTAAGATCCCACATGCTGCACGGCCAAAAAAAAAATTTTTTTAATTAAAAAAGCACCCCCCAAATAGATTTTGCTCCCTCCCTCAGGGAGACAACCCCCTCTGCATAGACGGTTGATCTGATCCAAAGGCCCTCCCCCTGCCCCATTCACCACTGAAGAAACTGAGGCCCAGACCTACTGAATCAGAAATGTCCGCCCTAGGCAATTACTTAAAATTTGTGTTCTGAAACTTTCCAGACAAACAGAAATAGAGGGAAGAGTATAGTGGACCCTCATAGAGTGATCATCCAGATTTAATAATCATCAATGTTTTTCCATCACACCCATCAGTGTGAAGCATTTGAAGGCAAATCTCTGACATCACAGCATTTCACCCCCTAAATAGCTCAATATTTATAAAACATAAGACAGTTTCTTCACCACAGTAACTTTATCACCTTTATTTACACAAGTCAAAGAATTCTTTCCTATCGTCTTAATACCGACAATGTGTTTTTCCAGGCAATTCGTTTGAATCAAGATCTAAACCAGGCCCATGTGTTGCCTTTGGTGGTGTCTCTTAAGAGTCTTTTAATTCAAAACAAAGCCCCCACCTTTTGTCCTGTACCATAGACCGGTGCAGTCCAGGACGAGTCACATCACCCAGGAACTTAGGTTCAGAACCCACCCAGACCTACGGATTCTAAAAAACAGGGTGTGGGGCCCACGCCTCCTGGTGATTCTGACACAGGCTCAAGTGTGAGAGCCTCTGTTATAGACATGCTGCAGAGACTAGGTCAGCCGTCCTGAGCTGTTGTGTAGCTTGTCCCTGTAACCTCCACACTTCCTATTAGATGGCAAACCTTGATGCCCTTCAGATTAGATGGTAATTGGCAAAAACACCCCATAGGTGGTGCTGTGTACTTCCCATTGCACAGCTTCAAGAGGCATGTGATGTCAGGGAGTACCGCTTATACTGATGCTGAGCTTCATTCCCTGGATTCAGGTGGCCACCCGCTCATCCACTGCAACATTCCCCATCACTCTCCACTGATGAACTTTGCCTGAATTAATTATTATTAAATACTTGAGCCATGGGAAAACACTGGTTTTCTAATTGATCAGTTAGGATTCTTTTCCAAAGAAAGAACTCTCTCTCATCATCTGGGGCTCTTTGCTACCTGAGACACCCAGATTGTACCAAGTAGATGTGGTAGATAGAAAACTGGCCTATGTTGGTGACTGTTCCATGCATATTTGAATGAATGTGCATTTTTCAGTTTGTTGGGTAGAATGTTCTATAAATGTTAATAATGTCAACTTGATGGATATGTTGTTTAACTCATCTATATCCCTGTTAATTTTCTATCTGTTTTTTCTATTGGTAACAAATACTGAGGGTTGAAATCTCAATTATTATTGTGGATTATTTATTTATCCTTTTAAATCTGGTTTTGCTTTGTGTATTTTGAAACTGTCATGTATGCACATAGTTATGTTGTTATGTCATCTGGATGACTTAACCCCTTTATAATTAAGAAATGTCCTTTTTTACCTCTGAGAACCACTCTTCCAAAGCTACTTTGTCTTATATAAATATAGCCACTGCAGATTTCTTCTGATCAATGTTTGCATGGTATACATTTTTGCACTGTTTTTCTTTTAACCCACATATGTCCTTATATTTAAAGCAAGTCTCTTATAGACAGCATATAGTTGAGTCATATTTTTTATCTAGTCTGACAAAATTGTCTATAAAACTACCACTTGGTTCTTTCCTATTTGTTCTTTGATCCCATCCATCCCTTGATCCTTTTCTCCTCTCTCGTGATTTCTTTTGAATGGAGTTTTTTGTTTTCGTTTTATTTTTGAGTATTCCATTCTATGGGTTTCCCTGGTGGCTCAAAATTCTCCAAGCCAGGCTTCAACAGTACGTGAACCATGAACTTCCAGATGTTCAATCTGGATTTAGAAAAGGCAGAGGAACCAGAGATCAAATTGCTAACATCTGCTGGATCATCGAAAAAGCAAGAGAGTTCCAGAAAACACCTACTTCTGCTTTATTGACTACGCCAAAGCCTTTGACTGTGTGGATCACAATAAACTGTGGAAAATTCTTCAAGAGATGGGAATACCAGACCACTGACCTGCCTCCTGAGAAATCTGTATGCAGGTCAAGAAGCAATAGTTAGAACTGGACATGGAACAACAGACTGGTTCCAAATTGGGAAAGGAGTATGTCAAGGCTGTATATTGTCACCCTGCTTATTAAACTTACATGCAGAGTACATCATGAGAAATGCTGGGCTGGATGAAGCACAAGCTGGAATCAAGATTGCCGGGAGAAATATCAATAACCTCAGATACGCAGATGCCACCATCTTTATGGCAGAAAGTGAGGAACTGAAGAGCCTCTTGATGAAAGTGAAAGAGGAGAGTGAAAAAGTTGGCTTAAAACTCAGGATTCAGAAAACTAACATCATGGCATCTGGTCCCATCACTTCATGACAAAAAATGGGGAAACAGTGGAAACAGTGAGAGACTTTATTTTTTTGGCCTCCAAAATCACTGCAGATGGTGACTGCAGCCATGAAATTAAAAGACGCTTCCTCCTTGGAAGGAAATTTATGACCAACCTAAATACCATATTAAAAAGCAGAGACATTACTTTGCCAACAAAGGTCCGTCTAGTCAAGGCTATGGTTTTTCCAGTAGTCATGAATGGATGTGAGAGTTGGGCTATAAAGAAAGCTGAGCACCGAAGAACTGATGCTTTTGAACTGTGGTTTTGGAGAAGACTCTTGAGAGCGCCTTGGACAGCAAGAAGAGCCAACCAGTCCATCCTAAAGGAGATCAGTCCTGAATATTCATTGGAAGGACTGATGTTGAAGCTGAAACTCCAATACTTTGGCCACCTGCTGAGAACTGACTCAAAAAGACCCTGATGCTGGGAAAGATTGAAGACCAGAGGAGGGGATGACAGAGGATGAGATGGTTGGATGGCATCACCGACTCAATGGACATGAGTTTGAGTAAACTCCGGGAGTTGGTGATGGACAGGGAGGCCTGGCGTGCTGCAGTCCGTGAGGTCGCAAAGAGTCTGACGCAACTGAATGACTGGTGGCTCAGATGATAAAGAATTTGCCTGCAATGCAACAGATGTGAGTTCAATCCCTGGGTCAGAAAAATCCCCTGGAGAAGGGAATGGCAACCCACTCCAGTATTCTTTTCAGAAAAATTCCATGGACAGAGGAGCCTGGTGGGCTACAGTCTACGGGGTCATAAAGAGTGGGACACGACTGAGCGACTTACACTTTCACGTTCATCCATTCTATCTACTGGCTTCTTAGCTCTCCCTCTAGTGTTTGCTCTAGGGCTTACAATATGCATCTTTAAAGCATCACAGTCTACTTTCAAATACTGTTAGAATGTAATGTTGTACTGCTTTGCAAGTGACATATGAATCTTACAGCAGTGTACTTGTGTCCCCGTTCCATACTTTGTGCTATTATCATTCATACTCAACTTCTATGTAAGTTATAACCCCCGCAATGTAGTATTTTATTTATTTACTTATTTATTTATTTGGCTATGTCAGATCTTAGTTGCAGCACTTGGGATCTTCGATCTCCATTGTGGCATGGGAGCTCAACTCTTCGTTTTGACATGTGGGATCTAGTTCCCTGACCAGGGATTAAACCTGGGCCCCCTGCACTGGGAGAACGGAGTCTTAGCCACTGGACCCACCAGAGAAGTCACTGCAATGTAGTATTTAAATAGTCATGTATCATTCAAAAAATTTTTTAAAGAAAGGGAAGATGTCTCTTTTTGGTTTACCCACGTATTTGGCATTTCTGGCTCTCTTCATCCCTTCATGTCCTCCCCGAGTTTTCATCTGGTTCGTCGTCCTTCCTCCTAAAGAATTTTCTTCAACATTTCTTGGAATACAAGTCCAAGGGCAATGCCTTCTGTCAGTTTCTGATTTTTGCCTTCATTTTTTGAAAGGTATTTTCATTTGTTTTAGAATTCAGGGTTGATGGGGTTTCTTTTTTTTTCCTTTTAGCTCTTTAAAGACTCCATCCCAACATTTTCTACTTTGTGTAACTTCTGATAAATAGTCTATACTTTCTTATCTTTGTTCCTTTCCACATGGTATATCTTGTTTCTCTGACCTCTTTTAAGATTTTTTCCTTTATCACTGGTTTTCAGCAGTTGGATCATGCTGTGTCTTGGTATGGTTTTCTTTGTGATTATCCTGTTGGGATGTGCTGGGAGTCTTGAATTGATGGATTTATAGTTTTAATCAAATTTAGAAATTTCTCAGACTTTTTACAATTAAAAATGTTTCTTGGGACTACAATTACATATATGTTAGGTTTCTTAGTTTTCTCCCCCATGTTAATTTATTCCAGTTTTTTTCTCTTTCTCAACTTGGCTTTGAACCTTGTGTTTAATGAAGCCTTTCAGGGCAGGTTTACATAGCCTTTCCTCTAAGGCTAACTTAGCCCCATAACTAACACTTGTCGCTTCTGAAGTCTGTATTTCATGCCTCCTAAGGGCCCTTCACTCTGGCTGATGGAAACATGAATATCTCTGGCCCCATACAAGCTCTTGTTTGTCTTCTAGCCCCAGCCATTGGTCTTCCTCCAGCATCTGTTCTTCCAGTTTCATGAGGTTTCACCTATGCCTGTGAGGATTGGTATTCCACCAAAGGCTCAGGAAGACACCTAAAAGATTCAGCGAACTCTTTCTCTTCCAGTTCTCTCCTGTCTGGTTTTCTATCTCACAAATTCTAGGCACCCTAGCTTTCCTGAACTGTGACCTCGACACCTCAGCTCAATGAGATAACTGAGTTCTGATTTCCTTTACCCCTTCCTCTCTGCTTCTCTCTTCCATAGTTACACAGTTCTCTGCTCCGCTCAGCCAGGCGCCAGCTTGTCTGGCTTTCCTTTAATGGAAATCATTCCCTGCCCCCTGTGTATTCCACCTCTGATGCTCCAAAGTTCTCATGATGGGAAACCAGGCATTAAGGGTGGCCAGTGTCCTGCTGAGTCAAAGGTCAGAGCTGGGGACCAACAACCTTTGCCACAAGTCACCTGCCAGGCTGGGTACACCTGGGGATGGAGCTCTTCTTAAGAAGTGGCTTTTACTTTTAATGAAACCCCACTTATTTTCTCTGTCAACACAGATCTGGAAAAACCTCCCACATCTGAAGGCAGTAGTGATATATGGAGAACCTCCTCCAACACAGATGCCCAGCGTGTACACGGTATGGGTAGAGTGACCTGGGGGGCAGGTGGGGCCTGTGTGAACCCACTCAGTTCACCTGGACTGCCCCCACTCTCCCACCTGCTGCAGATGGAAGAGTTCATGGAGCTGGGGAATGAGGTGCCTGAGGAGGCCCTGGACACCATCATCAACGCCCAGAAGCCTAACCAGTGCTGCACGCTGGTCTACACGTCAGGCACTACTGGGAAGCCCAAGGGTGTGATGCTGAGTCAGGACAATGTAGGACGGAGGCCCAGATGCATGGGGGTGGGCGGAGGGGGGGCCTGGGCAGTGGCCTTGCCCCAGCAGCCCTCGAGGGGACTCCTTCAGCCCCTCTGTACAGGCATCTGAGATAAGTACGACAGCTCTTAAGTCTGTGGTCCAGACTGAGCCCAGCAAAGTGGAGGGGGATGGAAGGGCAAGGCCTGGGCCAGAGGGGGTCCTGCAGAGATGCCCAGGAAGGTGTTCAAAGAACACTCCAAAGAAGTACCCCAAGCTCCTAGGGTGGCCCCAGGTGTGGGCACTTCCAGAGCTAACTTGAAGACACCGCCTGAGGCCCATTTGCCCATCCTCCAGATCACGTGGACGGCACGGTATGGCAGCCAGGCTGGTGACATCCAACCTGCGGAAATCCAACAGGAGGTGGTGGTCAGCTACCTGCCTCTCAGCCACATTGCCGCCCAGATCTATGACCTGTGGACAGGCATCCAGTGGGGGGCCCAGGTCTGCTTTGCCGAGCCCGATGCTCTGAAGGTCAGTCTGCCTCTCTGCCTGTACGTGTGCCCATGTGTGTGCTTGTGTCTGTGGGCCCTGTGCGAGCATTTGTGAGCCTGCCGGTCCCCTGTGTGTTCACAGCCTAACTCAGATGACCGAACAGGAAGGGAACTTAGTGATATTACGTACAGGGAAGGTGAGTCAGGGTGGTTCTGTGGGTCCGCAGCACCATCAAGGACAGGACACCCTCAGTGTAAGATCACAGGATGGTCACAGACGGCCACAGCCCTGCCCTGCATCACGGTCTCCTACACTACACCTGTGCTTGGGCTCCTTCTTTTTTCTGTGAGGAGAATGTCCCCAGAAGCCCCCTAGCAGACTTCTTCCTCCCCCCACATTGGCCCAAATCATGTCCCATGTCCACTCCTCAACTAGTCACTGCTTGTGTGTGTGCGTATTAAGTCTCTTTAGTCATGTACAACTCTTTGTGACCCTATGGACTGTAAGCCACCAGGCTCCTCTGTCCATGGGATTCTCCAGGCAAGAACACTGGAGTGGGTTGCCGTGCCTCCTCCAGGGGATCTTCCCAACTCAGGGACTGAACGTGCGTCTCTTATGTCTTCTGCTTTAGCAGGTGGGCTCTCTACCACTAGCGCCACCGGGGAAGCCCAGTCACTGCTTAGGGGAATGAGATGACCATGTCTGAGTTAGACTGATGGAAAAGTCACTGCCACCAGGACTGCCACCCGAGTACCTGGGCAACATCAGGGTTCTGTTAACAAAGAGGAGCGGGGAAGGGATGGCCGTTGAGTCCTAGCCAGTAGTATGTGACGTGAGTTGCGTGGTGTGCACCTGTGTGAGTGCCTGCGTGCAGGCGGCCTGCACGGGTGCATGCTGACTCTGTGGACAGGCCTCCTGGCTCCCAGCTGGCTCTCTGCCACAAGCCTGTCTCTCGCTGGTGGCGAACAGGGGAGTCTGGTGAACACGCTGCGGGAGGTGGAGCCCACGTCCCACATGGGGGTGCCTCGGGTGTGGGAGAAGATCATGGAGCAGATCCAGGAGGTGGCGGCTCAGTCTGGCTTCATCCGGCGCAAGATGCTGCTCTGGGCCATGTCGGTGACCTTGGAGCAGAACCTCACTTGCCCGAGCAGGTACAGGGGGCCAGGGAAGAAGAGGCCAGGGGAGGCAGCAGGGCTGGCTCATAACCCCGGGACACAACCTAGGATCTGAGAGGCCAGGCTTGTCCAGACCCCTTCACAGAGGCCCTATCAGTGGCTGGGCTTGAGCCCCTGTTCTCCTCCCAAATCCCACAGGAGACAGTAACCCCATCTTTGGGTTCTGACTGCAAGGACTGACTTGCTCCCTCTGGAGTAGCATTCACCTCCCTGGGAGCAGGTTCTGGCAGTCTCCTGAGGGGACTCCTGACTTCAGAAGGTGGCTCAAGTAGAGGCCACAATGATGGGGGCTTTTCTAGCCTTCCCAACATCCCAATCTTCTGCCCACAGCCTTTTGATTGCTTTTAAATTCTCACCCAGTGCTGTAGGAGGGTCAATAGCATAAATCTGGCCTGTTCCAATTTAGAAATGTTTTCCACCACTAGTGTGTCTGTGAAACTGTATCGTGTCACATGTGATGTGTACACATGTCTGTACCACTTCATTTGCATGGATGTGAAAAGTAAATATGTATAAACGACTCATTCAAGGGTTTCAAATGGGATCAGACACCTGTGTACACGTGTCCATGCATACATACTTCCAGTGTCTGCATGTGCATATTATTGTGTGTGCACTTTTGTGCATCTGTGTTGTCATACACAGCTGAATCTGTTTTTCTGACTTCCTGGCTCAAGATGTATTTGCACAAAACTACATGTATACATCCATGTGTGCATGCATGTTCATAGAAAGGGCCAATATTGAAAATATTTAGTGATGGATTCAGCATCACCACTAATCAATCAGAGTAGATAACTGAAATTGCCATTCAGGGTACCCGCTGACCACCCCCTCCCTTTTAATGCATGTGTGTGCATGTGTTGTCTTCTGTGAGCCATTCTCCCTCTCCTACCAGCGATCTGAAGCCCTTCACAACCCGACTGGCAGATTACCTGGTGCTAGCCAAGGTCCGCCAGGCGCTAGGCTTTGCCAAGTGTCAGAAGAACTTCTACGGGGCAGCCCCCATGACTGCGGAGACACAGCACTTCTTCCTGGGCCTCAACATCCGTTTATATGCGGGCTATGGCCTCAGTGAGACCTCAGGCCCCCACTTCATGTCCAGCCCCTACAACTACCGGCTCTACAGGTGTGTCCCAAGTTTTGGCACATATGCTGACCTGAACATCTTTGCTGATACCTGTCGGTGGCTATCTGCTGATTAGGACCCTGGGCCCAGACCATTGGACCTTGGATCCCTGAGTGCCAACAGCTCTATCATGGGCCAAGTCCATTTGCCAGGCCTGAGTCTTATGGGGGTGGTCCCTGTGACAGTGTCACACGCGTCTGTGGATGTAAACAGTCTTGCAGCCCAGGGGCTCCCTGAGCAGCGTTCTGAGGGAGGAACATCCCTTTGTTCCCTCCCTCCAGTAGCATGGGATGTGTTAGAGGGTGTCCCAGCATTGTTGATGGTCCAAGCTCCAGCTGCGATGGAAGCTGGGGGTGGGGGGTGGGACTGGGCCAGTCTTCTGGTGAACTGGGAAGGCAGTCAGCTCTTGGGAGTGAGTTGAAGGATTCTCTGTTGTGTTTAAATATCTCCCCTCCCTACCTGCCCATCACAGCACTTGAAGTTATCCCATCTAGATTTTGTCCATTCATTCATTCATTCACCTGAAAACCTTTAACTGGCCCTACCTCTTAGCTATGAGGAACCTATTAAAATACAAAAATCCCAGGAGGGGACATTCTAGCTGTCGATGAACACTGAGGGGTTGGGAGCCGCAGGGCTCCCTGTAGGGGTTGATCCAGGGCTTGGAGGAAACTGCTCCCTCTGACCATGCCTCCTGGCCCCTTAACACCCAGCTCTGGCAAGGTGGTGCCAGGCTGCCGGGTGAAGCTGGTGAATGAAGACGCAGAGGGCATCGGGGAGATCTGCCTGTGGGGCCGCACCATCTTCATGGGCTACCTGAACATGGAGGACAAAACGTGTGAGGCCATTGATCCTGAGGGCTGGCTGCACACGGGGGACACGGGCCGCCTGGATGCCGACGGCTTCCTCTACATCACGGGGCGTCTCAAAGGTGAGTGCCACCAGCTGGGTTCGAGGCTGTGGTGGCACGTGGGAGCAATTATACTGCCACCACTATTTATACCCACTATAAGTGTTGAAGCTCTTAGTTAATGCCACATGCCTTGCCATCGATGAACACTTGAGAAGTTGGGGACCCCAGGGCTCCCTGGGGGGGTTGATCCAGGGCTTGGAGGAACCTGCTCCCTCTGACCACGCCTCCCAGCCCCTCCACCCCCAGTTCCAGCAAGGTGGTGGGTGCCAGGCTGCCGCAGAGCTGAGAAGTAGGGCCAGTTAAAGGTTTTTAGGTGTATGAATGAATGGCCAATGAAAGACAGTGAATGAATGACATTGTTTTACTTACTATTGTCTCCCGTGGGAAAGATACTGCTATTACTCCAACCTAACTAATGAGGACAACCAGAGAGGTTAAGTAATTTGCCCAAGGTCACATAGCAATAAATGACAAACTTGGAATTCAAACTCCTTCTGTAAACAAGGCAAGTGTTTCCAGAAAATTGGAGGATGTAATTTTGGTGGGGGGAGAGGAGGGGAGGGCATGCTGCTTGACTTGCAGGATCTTAGTTCCCCCACCAGGGATTGAACCTGGGCCCCAACAGTGAAAGCACTGAATCCTAACTACTGAGACATGAGGGATAATATTTTGTATTTCTATATGCAAACATGGATATGATGCAGAGTAGAAAACAAATTGGACATAAAATTTAAAATAAAGCATGAAACTTCAAATTTCCCTTGAGCAACTTGGCTCCCCCAGGGAAGAAAGTTGGGGACACCTCCAAGGAAGAGGTGCTTTATTTATGTTGTCCAATGCCCGCAGCATCCCTGTGGGAACCCCACACCTCAATTTCCCAGGGGAAACTGAAGCTCCGTGAGTGGGTGAATACCTTTCTGGAAATCATGCAGGCAGGTGTGTGATCGAACCTGGGTCCTTCTGACCATAGAGGGTCAGCTCTCCAGGCAGAGTCTGGGTGTACTTGTCCTGAGCCCCTGTACTAAAGCCTATGCTGGGGGCCTGGCCTTGCCTCCTCAGAGTTAATCATCACGGCTGGTGGGGAGAACGTGCCCCCTGTGCCCATTGAGGAGGCCGTGAAGACAGAGCTGCCAATCATCAGCAACGCCATGCTGATTGGAGACCAGAGGAAGTTCCTGTCCATGCTGCTCACCTTGAAGGTGTGTCTGGGGGGTGGGGGAAGGAGCAGCCAGTGGGTGGTCTGTGAGTCTAGCCCTGGGCAGAAGCAATGTTTGGCCAAGACAGTGTGGATGTCACAACCGTATTCTGGAATAAGTTGTCAGTTCTGCCCATACTACAGGGCAGCCGTGGCATACAGGAATCCCTTCTGCCCCATGTTAGAGTTAGTAATAGTAATGTGCTGTCTTGGTGATCCTGGGTTTTCTAGTACAGTCCAATGTACAAAGTGCTATAGACACCTCCCAGTCTGGTGTCTGGTATCTGATCCTGGGGTAGTAGACGGGCCCAGAGTTGTGGCCCCTGTTTTAAAAGATGATCTCATTGGCTGAGGTCATCTAAATCTCAGTCCTTCCTTCCTTCCACCTGCCCTAAGAGGCTCAAGCAGTTTGAGTAGCATGTCCTATTCACTCTGAAACCAGCTCTCTGAAACATCTCACAGTGTTCCACATCCGTGACGGTCAGCAGTGAGACCTCCTCCAAGGCCCGGGCATGTGACCTGTGCAGTGAGGCTTGGTTCTGATCTGTCTCTGGCTTTTCAGTGCACTCTGGACCCTGACACCTTTGAGCCCACGGATAATCTGACAGAACAAGCCGTGGAGTTCTGCCAGAGGGTGGGCAGCAAAGCCACCATGGTATCTGAGGTTGTGGGGAAGAAGGATGAGGCTGTGTATCAGGCCATCGAAGAAGGGATCCAGAGAGTCAACATGAATGCAGCTGCACGACCCTACCACATCCAGAAGTGGGCCATTCTTGAGAGGGACTTCTCCATTTCAGGTGGAGAGCTGGGTAGGTGTTTTCTCTACACAATTGCAGGGGCTGTGCAGGTGGGCAGAGGCCATGGCAGAGCCTGGGAGGTGCCCACTAGGAAGCAGCCTTGGCAAACCAAAGATCCCTGATGGCACTTCAGGTGACACCTGCCTCCTTCCTATGGGAGGACCTTGACTGCTAAGTGCTTGGGCTTGTGTTTGGGCAGAGCCTGTTCAATGTACATGTGCTGGAACTCATTCATTTGAACACATGACATTTAACTTTGCTTTGACTAAGAAATCGTTTTCCTCTGAAAGCACAATGGGACCACCAGGCAGACACCAAGGCCCTGTTAGAGTTTGGGCTAGCATTTCACCTGGCTCCAGGGAATGAGAACACCATAATCTTTTGCAAAGGCAGCTCATGCAACAGGTAAAGGGATGAAACCCTTCTGGACCAATGGCCCACAGAATCAGAAAAGACCTCTGGTGTGGCCTCTGCCAGATGGATGAAGTCGCTCTTGGCTGTGGCATCTTGGGGTGTTCATGACACAGGGCGAGGTGGAAATGGCTTTTTCAATGAGACTCCTTCCAACTGGTCAAGGCTGAACCCAGAGGCAACTATCTACAGGAATTCTGAGCTGCCATCAGAAACCCTGAGCTTATCTGGCTGTCTGGCGCTAACAAATTGAATGTAAGGTCAACCAGACAGATGTCCTCTCTAAGCAGTTTCTATAAATGGCTTTGATCTTGAAGTCTCCAGTTACACAGCCAAGTATGAGTTAGCACAAAACGGAATTTACGCTACCCAAAGCAGAGCCCTTTCAGCCTTGCCTTAGAGAAGAGAACCAAGGCCAAGAAAAGTGATACTTGGAAGACCTCTCGTAAAGACCATGGCAGAGGCCCTCCCTGGGCCAGGGCTTTCCCCTGCCCCCCATCACAAGCAATCAAAACATAACGTCCAACATCGTATTAGTGATCACTGAAATGCAGGGATGATCTGCCTATTAGTTATGTCATGTAAACTACCCAACTTCCTCTGTATTCTACTGGCCACTTAGACCAACTCTGGTACAGTGTGGGAAGGAGCCACACAAGGGGTGTGACTGCCAGCTTCAGGGATCACCATGGGCCATTTTGGAGGTTGGCTACTTGTTGATCTGGCTTAATTCCAGAGTTATGGAACTTAGTGAGTCTAGAGCTTTACCACATAACCTTCACAGACATCTCAGAGCCCAGGCCTCACTCATCTCTTCCAATTTCTCTTAGGTCCCACAATGAAACTGAAACGCCTCGTAGTCCTGGAGAAGTACAAAGATGTCATCGATTCCTTTTACCAAGAGCAAAACAAGTAAGCAGGGGTCATCCCTCCCTGGTTTCTCCTTAAGATGGCAGGCTGAGCGTCTTCCTGACCCCCAGGTCCTCTTCGGTCTGGGCACATGGACTTCTGGCAAGTCTCTTAGGTTCTCCAGGTTAGTATAGTCCTGGTATCTGCCAGGTCTTACACCAACAATAGTCAACAATCCCGAGAAGCTTCATGTGTCAACAGTTTAAAGTACTGCTTTTTGTTCAGGTGATAATGAGATTAGCTCTCCTTCCAGAACTAAAGGGCTGACAGTTTGGGACCTTAGCTTCAGGCAGATTTAACCGGCTGCTAGCTCACTTCACCGGCCAGCTGGAGGCAGACTGGATGCCGAGGGGAGGGAGGACCGGGAAGACGGCTTTGATGAAGTGTGCAGCCAGGAAAGCGCTCAGTTGTGACTCCCCTAACGGCCTGGCTTACTGTGGACTGTCATTGGATGCTGCCGCTCCCATCATCCCGTTACCAGGCATTCCATTAATGCACACGCCCGATGACTCTGATGCTTAATAAAAGTGCTGCTGCCTATTTGATTGTATTTAATGTGTAACTTGAAATTAAACTTTTTAACAGAACTGTCAACAAGCACCTGATTTTGTCAACTGAGCAACAGATGAGTCCAGAGTGGTGGGTATTTAGCCCACAGGACAGTGTGCAATAGGTATACGAGTGACCTTTAGTGCCCTGAAATAAGCAAAGGTGAGGGAGGGGGTCAAGGGGAAATGTTCTCGTGAAAGCGGTTAACTGGTGCTAGTCTGTCACCACTATGCCCCCTCCGCCCACTCTGAATATTTCAAGCAGCCATCCTTAGTAGCAAGCTGAGCCAAGATGAAACAAGGCATCTAAATGGGTAGAGGAAAGCATACAGCTCAATTAGTTTGGGAATTCTTTATTTGTATAAACTGAAGGGTCACTGATAATTAGCACAATTCAATAAAACAGAAGCAGCAGCAGTTTAAACAAAGTAAAATACACATAAGATTATTTGTCTGGTTACAAGCTTCAAAAAAGGACCCAGACAGGAGTATTGGTTGTGGTTAAAAAACCCCCTTGTGACAACGCAAAGCCACAGGTTAGAGATGTTACACAAGGGTCAAGGAGGACATGAGTTGCCTTTGGTGTTGGACCAAAGGGTTCATGAAAATAGTGACTCAGTGTCTGAAGATTAAAGACAAATCATGCTAAAGGTGAGGAACAGAGGAAGGATGGGGAGGTGCCTGAAGCTCAAAAGCTGAGCCAAGCCCCAGGGTAGCACAATTTTGTGAATCAATTCAGGCTGAGTTTGCAGCTCCTCTTTCCCTGGTGGTGCTGAGGCAGAGGGCAGTGATTTGGTGCTTTGGGGAAGGAGAAGCCACTGAAGTGTAAAATTAATAGCCAGTACTCCAGGTTCCTAAATTGCAGTCAAAATTTATATGGTGAGGCCTGTTAGCCATATCAGTGGGAGTGTGGTCCACTTCCGGTCAGCGACAGACAGGCTGCAGAAGAGGGACTGCTCCCAGGCCCGAGTCAGGGTCCCCCAAGGGACCAAGGGGCAGGGGGTCGAGGGCTGTGTTTTGTACCATGCTTGATACACGTCCAGTGGAAAGGAAGGACCACCCCTTCACTTCATTAGAAGATCTTACCAAGAACAGTAAATCTCAAGATAACTAAAATAACTGAACACACAATCCACCTGTGTCTTTGTACCCGATATATTACCCGTATCCTATGAACAAAAATTACATCTCTCATTAGATATTTCTCCCATCCGAAGTCTTTATTCATACTCAGTAATTTATGTAAAGTACAAATCAGTCTTTACTTTCCATATCACTAAGAAATATACCATATTCACTGTTTTTGATGTAAACTTTCCCAGGAAATTTCTCTTGTGCCCATTTAGTTTTATAAGAATATCCTCGTGCTATTATGCCAACATTCTACTTTATCTCCATTATATTTTTCGTAAACCAAGAATATCAGTGTTTTTCTTTAAAAAGTTAGATGTTTTCTCTTAGTATTTCTGTATCATGATATTTACAGTGAAAGAAAAACTATCTTAACTGAAGCATAAAATGGTTAACAACAGCAAATGATAACAGTTCACTTGAGAGTTTACAAAAAATGTATACCAGATAGACATTTAATAAATAAAACAAGCACTTGGAAGAAGTCCTTTGAAAGCAGGCCTAGGGACATTACCTGCATCCTCTGCACAGTTCTGTTAAGAAAAAGGCCAGGTCTAAAAATGTACTCTGTCAAGAAACAAGCAACAAATGCATAAATGCATACACAATGGGAAGTATTCTAACACAGGCTGATGTGGCGTCCACTAGGAGTGACTGATGCAGATACCATCTGTAGAAGCCTTAATCTAAATCTTTTACTCGCCGACAGATTTCGTCTGTGAAGTCTGAGCATTTTGAATTGCCTCCCAAATCTTTGGTTAAGCTCTGAGAAAAAGAAAAGGCAAAGACAGAAAACATACCCACATGTTAAACCAAAGCAAAAAAACGTTTTTATTTAAAGTCCTCAGTGAGACACTGGCTGAGTGAGTTACCTGGCTACTTGTTCATTTAGTTCCTCATTTCAAAGTGAGACTGGCTCCACCACCATCCACCTACCCCAAGCAGACTTGGAAAAGCTAATTGGATAGTGCACACAGAAACACAGCGAGAATGAGAACAAGTCTCTTGGGACTTCCCTGGTGGTCCAGTGGTGAAGAATCTGCCTTCCAGTGCAGGGGACATGGGCTCAATCTCTGATCAGGGAACTAAGATCCCAGGAGCTGCAGAGCAACTAAGCCTGCACACCACAACAAGAGAACCCACTAGCATGCCTCAACAAAGACCCAGCACAGCCAAAATTAAAAAACAAAACAAAACAAGATGCTCTCACCCCAGAGGGAAGGAGGGAGGCTTTCCAAAGTTTTTCCCTTGATCTGTACAATAGATTTTAAGGAAGCATTTGATCACAGACATATCATTGACAGCAAATCTAAACAAGAGGTTGCATAAATCTCTTGGGGAATTTAATTTTTTTTTTTAAACACATTTTGACCTATTTTTGGAGGCTGAGAAACCAATACTAGGAAAGTATTTAAATGACTAACTCTTCAATTCCCCTCTTTAGGAGAGAATTCCTCCCATTTCCCCTGTTTTCTACCAGCTTATGCTCTTTACTCCCAAACAGACCTCAATATATTTAATTCTCTCGTTTCATCACATCCTATGCAATTTAAAGAGCCTACTGTGTAATTTAGGCATCTCTCTCCTGGGTTATATGAGTAGCTTCCCTAATACAGCGTCAGAACAAAAAATATATATAATCACATGCCCTTCAATATGACTATATCAGGCTGTTAAAAACAAGCTTGGGTTTCTTATATTTTGGCCACAGAAATTTCAAAGTACAGAATTTTAAAAAAAATAAGCAGCAAACCTTGAAAACAAACCTTGTGCTAAGTGAAGTAAGGCAGTCAGAACAGTACAAGTGTGTGATTCCGCTTACGTAAGGTACCTAGAGCAGTCAGATTTATAGAGACAGAAAGTAGAATGGTGCTTGCCAGGGGCTGAGGCAATGGCAGAAAATAGGGAAATCATTGTTTAATGGGGACAGTTTCAGTTCAGGAAAATGAGACTCTGGAGATGGATGGTGGTGAAGGTCACACAACAATGTGAAAATACTGGGTATTTAATACCCAGTAGACTGTGTACCTCAAAAATTATTAAAGTGGTCCATGTGTATTATGTGTACTTTATCCTTTTTTAAAATGATAACTTTTTTTTTTTAATGAAGAGATCTTAGGCTAAGGATCAGTTTTTCGGGCCCAGCCTCGTAAAGCCATGATCTTCTCCATTTTCCCACTTTCAGAATAATCGATCACAACCCTCCCACGGGCTACAACTGCTTATGGAAACAGTGAAGCTTGTTGGGTAAGAGCCAGACTAGGTGTGAACCCCAACTCTGCCAGTTAGGAGCTGTGAGAACTTGGACAAACTTAACTACTCTCTCTGTGCCTTGGTCTCCTCATTTATGTGCTCAGTCACTTCAGTCATGTCTGACTCTCTGATGCCCCATGGACTGCAGCTGGCCAGGCTTCTCTGTCCATGGGATTCTCCAGGCAAGAATACTGGAGTGGGGTGCCATGTCCTCCTCCAGGGGATCTTCCCAACCCAGGGATCGAACCTGCATCTCCTGCATTGGCAGGTGGGTTCTTTACCACTAGCACCACTTAGGAAGCCCTCATCTCTAAATGGGCTTAATTACAGTATCTGTGTCACAGAGTAGTAGAAATTTGCTGAGATTATATGTGTGTGTGTGTGTGTGTGTGTGAATATATATATATATATATACACACACACATATATACATAAAGAATATAAGATCATGTAAGCATTCAATTAGTATCAACTATTAATACATCTATAAAACTTCTATATTACTTTTATATCACAGATGCATATAAAGTAACACAGAGCACCACTGTATTATAGACACATCTACATCTTGCTAGATTTCAAGCTCCTTGAAGTCTAAGACCTTACCTTATTCCTTATTTTATTATATCCTCCATACCCTATAATGTATGCAATAGATGTTTGCTGGAAAGAGGAAAAAACTACCAAGAAAAATTATTGGACTTAGCCAAGATCCCATGGGTAGCAACAGGAATAAGCAGGTCTGCCCTGCTCCAACCCCCACATCACTGTCCTTCCCACTGCACGCTGGTGCCCCCGCCTCGGTGCCTCTCAACCCTCCCCTGATGAAACACATGGGTCCTCCCTTCAGAAGATGCAACATGTGCACACCCCCCGAGTTCACTCAGGGAGCCTGAATTAGGGATGCCTGCTTGACGCCCAATCCTTTTGCCCTCTTGAGAAGAATCATCATCTGTCCTTCACATACAAAACCCAAGGAGGAAATGAATTTCACCCAGCACAAGTGTGGCAAGATCACTGATACCTTTCCATCCTTAATTGTAGCAAAACATGCCATCTCAATCTTTGCGGCATGGTCAAAAAGCCCCATGTGGCGCAGCATCATCACGGCGCTGAGCAGGAGGGCCGTGGGGTTGGCCATGTCCTTGCCCGCGATGTCCGGGGCGGTCCCGTGAACCTGCAGTGGTGGGGGTCGGGGGGGCGCACAGTCAGAAGGGGGACAGAAGCAAACAGCTCTCCTCGAGGGAAGCTGGGCTCTTAATCAGCTTTCCTCTCTGATGGAAAATAGCTATAGAACAGCTATCCAGACACAGGTTTTAGAAATAAAGCCTCAGAAAAATGAAGAGCTAAAGTAATTTTTTTTAAGTGTAAAAAGACGAATGAACAATCTTATCCAGTGAACTTCTGGTAAAATATTTTAACTGAGGAAGGAAACATGATAAATGATAAGGATACAAAAGAAACCAGAGGGAAATGAATGAATAAACTGAGCTTATACAAAAAGCTAAACAAAGCTTCACTTTCTTTTGACAACTGGAAAAACTCAAGCGTTAACAGATACTTATGCAGACAATCTCTCTTGGGTTCTCATGTCACTCTGACTTGAATTCTGCTTCAGATGTCACCAGGGTCCTTACCGACTCGAAGATTGCAACTCCATTGGCTCCAATGTTGCCGCTTGGTGTCACACCGAGACCTCCAATCAATCCTGCACACAGGTCACTGGGGGCAGAAAAACATTCCAAAGGACATTTTGAAAAACAAAACAGCTCACCTAGTGGTCAGACTTCTATCTTTATATACCATTCTCCACTGAGAGAACCTAGGCTCCTTGGAGAAACGACTGATTTCAGGACTAGTCAGGAACATATAGGATGAGCCTGAAGCAGCTTACTATGCCAGAGAGCAAATAAGGGGCTGTGTCAAGAGGGCACAGACACAGCTCAGAGGGACTGACACTGGCCAAGTCTGTGCAATCTAAGCACCAATATCAGTGATGATAGTGAGGAGCAGAACTCCTGAGTAAAATAGAAGCCGAGAGTCCAAACTGACATAGGTAAGTCCGTAAACAAATAAGAGGGAAAGAAAAGCTTATCCTTACGGTAGAATGCCAACTAATACATGTAAAAGGAATGATGGGCTTACGAAAGCACCATTTGGCTACCAGCATCTGTATGTGTGTAGAGACAGAGAAAGGAGGAGGAGGAAGGAGGGAGTAATAAAGTAAGTCTGATAAAAATGTTAACATTTGGTGAATGTGGTGCTAAGTACACAGGATTTCCTTGTACTGTTCTTGCAACTTTCCTGAAGGTCTGAAATTATGCCAAAAGTTACCACCCAAAAAACCTTGTAAAAATGAACACCCACCTTCCTAGCTATACATGATAAAACACTGAAATCAACCAACCAACCAATAAAATATCTGTGAAGTGAGAAGAGGGAACTAATGGTCAGGGAACTACAGTCCAGAGCTAATTTGGCAAATGAACAAAGGAATAACCTACCAACATGTAACCACTGATGTCACCACCTGAGGTGTTAGAATTCAACTCATATCTTCTAACAAATGCTATTTTTATAACCCTTGATTAAAATTCTTAAGCCACAATTTATTTAGAACATTTATAAATAAACTGTATGCTAAAACATGTAGCCAGACTTACCTAAGGATGTCTCCATACAAATTTGGCATAACAAGAACATCAAACTGGGATGGGTCTTGGACCATCTACAAAAAATGCATTTGTGCATTCAGCAATCAAAAACTGCACCACATGTACACACTATACACCACAAAACATAGCAGGTAAGTGTGAATATATACTTACATTCAAACATACTGTATCAAGGTACATCTCATTAAATTTAATATCTTTACAGTTTTCTGCAACTTCCCTGCATTTTTGCAGAAAAAGCCCATCTGACATTCGCCTGTATTTAATCAAATAAAAATTATTGAAAGCAAAGACTTGCAGAGAGAAAAAGATCAAATCAGAGAAGTAAAGTTCAAGAAATTCAAGTTCCAGAAGCCAAGATGTCTGATTACAGTAAAAAAATTTTGGGGGGCAATCAGTAAAATGCAAATTTAAATGTTTTGGGATACTTCTGGAAGCACAGAAGGGTAAAAAATGTAAAGTAGTTTGATCATAACGAAGAAGACTATATTTTTGTAGTGTTACCTAGCAAGAATTAAGAAATATCTATTAATAAGGAAATGTCAAAATTGCCTTAAGGTTAACTTACTCAATTATTTAAATAGTTTTACTATTTTACATGCTCAACACTTTTATTAGGTTAGGAAACCTGCTTCTTAACACACCGAGTTAGCCTTTACTGCACTAGGGATGAGGAGAATTCAAACTGCTAGAATGATACATCGGATCAGATTAGCACTATGAGCACTATTTTAAGCTCCTGAACAGGTGGCCATTTCAGAAACATTCCTGCTATTCCCCTCCTAACACAGGAACGACTGCCCTTTTATAGACGTGACTTAACTAACTGGTCACCTCATCTGGGGATCCAGTTTCTCTGGCTTCCTTCTCTTCCCCCCTTAAACTTCCGGGACCTGAATTCCTGCTGCCTCCATACTTGTTCATCACCCACCCAAGGAAACACATCAAATAGAAGACTCTGACACAGGAGCAATGCCTGACCCTCTGACTGGCTGCAAAGCCGTCTTCCAGAGCTATCAGGAAGCAGTGAGCAAGCTGCAGAGAGGAAAAGCAAGCCCTGCCACTGCTTGGCACCCACACAGCTGAAGGCAGCACCGCCCACCGGGACTCACATGATGTTGGCTTTGTGCACGGCCGTGACGTTGCTCCGGTGGTTGTTCCGCGCATATTCAAAGGCAAACTCCGCAATACGCTTGCTCGCCGCCTCGGTGATGAGCTTGATACTCTGCACAACTCCATCCACGATCTGAAAGAGAGGAAGTCCTGTCTTGCTGAAAGGGTGTGGCAACCACCTGGCTCTAGACCGCCGGTGTGTGCAGACAGCACCATCTGTGCCAGGCCTGCACGGCGCCAGCTGCCAAGGCGAGCATCATGCATATGGCATGTCGGCAGGGTTAGTCATGTTCACCCCAGCCCGTGAGCCCCATATTATAAGCTCCACTGCACAGATGAGGAAAACCAAGCTGCAGAGATGGTTACCCATGAAGCTGAGGATTCAAACTTCAAACAGAGGACAAGTTCCCAAGCCTGTGACCTGAAGCACCCAGGCATCTGTTTGAGGTGACAAGACAAATACCCACAACTCCTCACTGAGTGAAAGGGAACTGTCCTTGGGAAATGTTTTCACCTGGGAATTTGAATAATAGTCCCAAGTGCCCAGAAAGCAACCTAACTAAAAATGAAAAAGTATCCAAATGAACATACCACATGCTCGATTCCACTGTATTCTCCTTCCGTGTTCTCTCGAATGGTCACAATATTTACATCATGGTAAGGAGTTTTATAGCCTTCGATTGAGACACATGGTCGGACATTTGCATAAAGGTCAAATGTTTTACGCAGCAGTAAATTCATAGATGGGTGCCCAGCAGCTATTGGTGTTTTTAAAGGGCCTATAATAAAGAAGAATATACAGATGACAAAAAAATACATTCCAGTCTTTTTTTTTCTTTATAAACACAAGCTCATAATGTTGACACTTGTCCCTCAGCATCGAGTAGGGGAAGGGATCCAGCAGATACCAAAATCCATGGATGCTCAAGTCCCTTATAAAATGACATAGTATTTGCATATAACCTACACACATCCTCCTTTAAATCATCTCTAGACTACTTATAATACCTAACACACACACACACACACACAAAATACCTAACACAATGTAAACAGCTATGTTAATAGTTGCCAGTAGAAGTATTCAAGTTTTTCTTTTTGGAACTTTCTGGAATTCTCAATATTTTCAATATATGGTTGGTTGAATCCATGAATGCACAATGCATGGATATGGAGGACCAACTATTCTTGAAATTCTAATTTTCATTTTTTCCACTGTTCCATCAGAGCTGTATTTAGGATCCTTTCTTTGGACATGAAGTAGCTATGTGACACATCTAACACGCATGCCTCATGAAACGAGGGACACTTTTACCAGCGTCCTCTGAAAGGACAGACAGGGGCTCTGTCTCTAAGTCTGATGTCCTCTTCAGCATAAATGAGCCCACCCATAGCTGGTCACTCTCAGGCCGCGCTGAGCACCACTCCCAGTGTCACCTACACACCCTGTAAAATGTGTTCTGCCTCTCACTTGACCCTCTGCTTCCGATTCAAATATGGAAGAAATTTCCTCAGTGAAGCTTTCTGGAACATCAACTGCACTGAACACGACTGACTGAGGACCAAGCACTGTATCAGGTCCCTGACATTAGCTAGTCCTATGACACCACCTCCTTAGTGCTCAGTTCCAATCTGTCACATGCCAGTATTTTGAATCATGAACTGGAACCTATATAAGCTAAAACTAATAAAAATATAAAAATCATGCAGAAGATAAACCCAGGTAAAGATAAATACAACACCTGTCACAGAAATCAATAATAACGATCATATCACATCAGCACTACCTTTCAAGCCCATCTTGTTCTTATCCATGGACTCTTTGGCTTCTGGAGGGATCATCCACTTTCCTCCTGGACCTTGAATGGCGGTGACGTTTCGCTCCTCCCACTGAATAGGTGCCTAGATGCCACACCACAGAGCACAGTGAACTGGAAAGAACTACATGTGACCCACATTCACACTGCAGCTATAAACAAACTTCAACTTTGGATGCAACTGGTGAAAACACATACAGTAAAGGTCCAGAAAGTTCCTGGCATGCAAGAAGAGATGTCATTCTCCAGCATGCCCAGAGGGAGTCTCCACATTACCCTTGTCCAGTCATCACTCCTAGCTGCCACCTGCCCACTTCTTTTTTTCACAATGACTCTTAGCGTGGCTATAATTAGAATATCATAAGGAGCAGAGAAATAGGATTCATAGAAGTATCACATAGTACGGATGCATGGATGAACTTTGAAAACATTAATGCTAAGTGCAAAGAGCCAATCATAAAAATATATGAAGTGTCCAGAATAGGCAAATCTACAGAGAGAGAAAGTAGTTTAGTGGTTGCCTAGGGCTGGTGATGGGAGGGGGTAGGGTGGAAGAGATAAGGATCATGGGGAATGACTGCTGATGAGTATGGGGTTTCTTTTTGGGTGATGAAAATGTTCTAGCACTAGATTGTGGTAATAATTACACAACTCCATGAATGAAATGAATTGCATACTTTACATGATGAACTGAATAGTATATGAATTAAATCTCAATAAAGCTGTTAAGAAAAAAAAAAGACATATTATATAACCTATGAAGGCAAGAGTCTTAAGGTATAAACCAGTGCTATCCTTTCTTTTTAACCACATGTTTCACTGTGTACACACACATCTGACAGCCAGCGGGGAATGCACTAGGAACAGGAACCAGAGCAAGACTTGGTCCTGGCTCACAAGGAGCTCACAGCTGAGAGTGAGCATAGTTCAGCTCCCTCCGGGAACACTTTTGCATAAGCATCATTTCCGCTATAGGAGTTTTAATTAGAAATGCATATAGAAAAACAATGTATGTTTAGCATAAATAAATCGAATTCCTTGACTTTTATCTGTTGGTATAAAAATTAACCACTTATTTAATTTTATACATTATTTCACCTAGCAGCTATAAATAGCAATAATAAAGCATCAGGTCAAACAAAATCCAACTTTCCTAAATTCCCATTTTTAAATATCTACCTGCATTGAAGGATAGACTATTTGATAATAATACCTCATATTTGGTATTACCACACCAGGAAAAAAAATCTTTCAAAATCTCCTATATATCAATAATTTTTTGAAATATTTATTGTTTTCTTTTTTTTTTTGGCATGAAGGTAGAAGAAGGTAGAATGAGGGAAACAGGTGACTTGGCAGGACTTAAAGACCTTAAACCAAGGCAGAGTTCAAAAGTTCATAAAAATTACAGTACTGCTTGGATTCCTTTATACATAACTGATGCCAACACAGTAGCTTAAACCAGTGATGGCAGCAACAACACTCTTCAAGTCAGAATCTGTGAAGTTTTAATGAGAGACCTCACCAACTTCATAAAAACATGAACAATTCATCCTAAGAGTTCACAGACTCCAAATGGCTAAGAAAACTTTTGTACAAATTATTATCAAAAGTATGTAAGCCCACTTACTTTGGCAGCATCAAAAATCTTCATAACTGCAGCAGAAATTTCTGGGCCAATTCCATCTCCTGGAATTAAAGTTACTGTCTTAACCTGAATATAAGAAATCATCAGAGGAGACAGTCAGAATTGATTTTTGAAGGTTTAAAAAAGAACATCGTTCGAAAAGAAATCCAGTTTAGGGGTTCTTAACTCATAAAAAATGCCTTTAAGAAAACAGACCTACCTCCCAACGGCTCATCAAAGTGGAGGCAAGAATCAAGAGATGCTACAACTCTACTTCCTAGCTGAGTCCAGGGGTTTAAAAAAGAACTTAAGCAATGCTCTCCAGAAAAAACAAAAATAAACTACCAAGTAAACTTCCCAACTGAAATTTCTTTTCAGACAAACTACGAAGAGACCACTTAGTTCAAGTCTGTAAAACCAAGAAGAGTAAAACATTTCAACAGTGTTCTCTCACTAAAATTTAGAGGGTTTCCTATGAAGGCAGGCATATTCCTCTCCACCAGGAGCCTAGAAATTTCCATTCCTCATGTAACTCATTCAGTCTTACAAAATGCTCTCAGACACCTCCAGAATAGCACTGTGGTCTATTTTGACATGCAGAAAATCAGACTTTACATCAAGAGAGGGTCTGTTTTCCGGAGTTCCTTTATAAAACTGGCCCCTAATGACAGCAGTAATCCAAGTAAGCCCAGTGAAGTTTATTTGGAACCATTAAGAATAAGCTATGTGATCATGCCTGCAATGTCTGAATCACACTTCAAATGACATAGTGTATCTATAATGTAACATCAATTTAATGCAAAGGCTTTAAATAGAATAAAGCCAGCATTTCAAACACAGGGGAAAAAATATGTAAAGGGAAATGATGAGAGGATTTAAGTGAGGACTTCCATGTGGAAACTATATATGTCATTATTTGTGGACTTTCCCCTCCCTAGAAGTTTGGCCCAGACCATAGTCCCTGGCCTTTCTCAGTTCTAGTTGCCTATGCTGGTTTGGCTAAGCTAGAGAAAATAATCGAGGATGGAAACAATTTTTTCTAAGAATTAAAAAAATAAAAAGTTTGATTTAAAAAGAAAAAAATCACTGATTTCCCTGGTCTTTTAGCTTCTAGTGATGCTAAGGGGCTTCCCAGGTGATTCAGTGGTAAACAATCTGCCTGCCAATGCAGGAGACTGGGGTTTGATCCCTGGGTTGGGACTATCCCCTGGAGAAGGAAATGGCAACCCACTCCAGTATTCTTGCCTGGAAAAATTCCACGGACAGAGCAGCCTGGTGGGCCACAGTCCATGGGGTCACAAAGAGTCAGACACATGATGTTCCCTAAGCAGGTGGACTAATTATTTTTGAATTTAACTATACGATGGAAGGAATCTTTTTTAAAAATTAGTTTCTCTTCTTATTTCTCTCAAATATAACCACCTTCCCACTAGGATAATATATATTCTAATGGAAAACCTGAAAATTAAGTAATAGCAGAGAGCAATTATCATCTCATTAGCTTTCAGAATGCATCTGAAATGCTAACAAGGCTTTCTGCATCTTTTGTAGCAAAAGCAGAGCCAAAAGAACCCCTTTGGCTTCTTCTTCCTGTTCTCCCAACATGTAATACAAAATGTCATCAGGCCACCAGAAAAATCTACTTTACTTCCAGAGTTCAGAAAGTAAATGAAAAAAAAAAAAAGTACTATGCTCTTATAAATACCTCATGGGGTAAGATGTTATATGGGAGTATAGGAATTATGAATCCAAATCAGATTCTGTAAAAAGGAGGTAAAATAAAAACATACAGGAAGTCACTGACCCACAGTCTTAGAATGCTCTAAAAATGTGGTACCAGTTTTTAAAGCACAGAACTCTAATGCGGGGAATTCTAAAAGCAGCAGATTTAATGAGAAACAGATGATCCATTAACAGGAGAGTCTATGAAGACTACATAAGGAAAGTATCAATACATATAAGCCTATAAGGGCTTATAGATATTTGAGGCATTCTTAATTGGTGATCAATCTACTGTTTTCAGGGAAGCTTACAAAATAAAAATGCGAAGCAGATTTTGAAGCTTCTCAACAATTTTCTCTCAACTTGTACTAGTTTGGAGAAAAAACCGTCTTATCCAAATGAGATTGTGAAATAAAGTAACAGGCTCAAGGGTAATTTCTATCTATTTTTAAACAAGCCTGCTTCAAGATATTAATGTGACAGGTTTATATAGCCAGCTATAATACAATCTTTTTTAAAATGTACAAGTTACCTAGTAGATTTACACATGTTCATCAGTAATATATAAGTATGGCCACTTTCCCCCAATTTTAAATAAATAGAGATTAAATGCCATATAATAAATGTGTTAGAGCACTTTTCTTGAGAAACTTCTAAAAGGGAAAAAATAAAAGTCATAATTATACTCACACCACCAGCAAAACCTCTGGTCACCTGTTTTTGGTTGTGGAATGCCCCCAGCAGCCGAGAGACCTACATTTAACATCAACAAAGAAACGTCATGCACAGAATTAACCACATAGTGTTAAAAGGCAGACACAGCACCGTCTCTGACAGCTGACAATGCTGCAGCTTCACACAGATACATTCAGGAATTTCCGAGGAATATTTTTGTCATGTATTAGCTCAACATAGCAAGTTCTCTTGGATTTGAAAACCAAACTATTCAGTTTACCTTTGCTTTGAGAATTTAAGTACATGTACTTTTGAAGTTGATTTTATCAATATAAGTTGTCAAAAGATGTTGAAAATAGAATGAAACTCTACTTTTTTTTAACTCAAACACTGGATTTTCCTCAGATGATCTGGACAGTTTTATGTCCACACTCTTGACCACTGGATCAATTTGAGGGTCACACACCCTAGGAAAACTATCACTAATTTTAAGAGCCAGCAGGCTCCTTATGAATCCCAGAGTCCAACTCACTGATTATACAGCGCAAACAGTGGGTTCAAAGAGTAGGGATTTGTCTAAAGCCACAGAGAAACCACAAAGAGACCAGAATCTGGGTCTCCTAACTGCTATTCCAGGGCTCCTCAAGTTACACACTCTGCCTATTCTTCTCCCATGAATATTAAGAAATTATACTTTGTAATAAAAATCTAAGAAAGTTTATTCAATACCTTCTTGACATGTGTCATATAAAATGAAGATTTTAAATAAATTATCTACTTCTGATAATATAGGTAATGCCACCATTACTTTTAATTACTGGGATGGGAAAAGATATAAAAAAATAAATAAATGTGACCTACTAACCCCATTTGGAGAAGGAAATGGCAACCCACTCCAGTATTCTTGCCTAGAGAATCCCATGGACAGAGAAGCCTGGCAGGCTACAGTCCATGGGGTTGCAAGAGTCGGACACGACTTAGTGACTAAACCACCACCAACCCCACTACCCAAAGATGTTGCCATTGGTACATATCTTTTCCACTTAACACTACTACACACCAGAAATATAAATTCTAAAAGGTTATTTTGAACTTTAATAATTCAGTTCTTGAAAACTGGTACAAAGTCACATTACATTATAATACACAGAATATAATCAAAGAAATTGGCTACATAGACCAAAGGTGTTAAAACTAAAATTCATTAAAAGTTTTAAAGGTTAACTTTTTGTCATGCTAGATACATGAGCAAAGATACATTTGTTATATCCTTAGACTTCCTTTTGGGGGACAGTTCTTATAAGTCCTGAACCTTTGGCTGTAATATCAGCATAAGTAAAGAGACACCAACAGCCAAAGAGCTGAGAACAGGTTGTATCCTCTAACCCAGCAACTAGTTATCTCTCTGGACTGAAAATAAAATAAAAGATAGGGCATGACCCAAAAGAATACGCTATGCCAAAACCACTGGCCAAAAACTCAATCCTAGAGCGTGGTTCATCCACCAGCAACTGGGCTATTAGAAGGAAGGGAGACCACTTTAAGGCTATGTTATAAAATTTGCATGGGTCCTTCTCCCCGCCCTTCAGAAAGAGACAAAAAACATTCACTCAAAACAGGCCTATGTCTCTGTGGCAAAAGAACCAACCAAACTAACTGATTTAAAATGTAAATCATCACAGCACTGTTTATAATAGCCAGGACATGGAAGCAACCTAGATGCCCATCAGCAGACAAATGGATAAGGAAGCTGTGGTACATATACACCATGGAATATTACTCAGTCATTAAAAAGAATTCATTTGAATCAGTTCTAATGAGATGGATGAAACTGGAGCCCATCATACAGAGTGAAGTAAGCCAGAAAGATAAAGACCAATACAGTATACTAACGCATGTATATGGAGTTTAGAAAGATGGTAACGATAACCCTATATGCAAAACAGAAAAAGAGACACAAATGTAAAGAACAGAATTTTGGACTCTGTGGGAGAAGGCGAGGGTGGGATGTTTTAAGAGAAGAGCATCGAAACATGTATATCATCTAGGGTGAAACAGATCACCGGCCCAGGCCGGATGCATGAGACAAGTGCTCGGGCCTGGTGCACTGGGAAGACCCAGAGGAATCAGGTGGAGAGGGAGGTGGGAGGGGGGATCGGGATGGGGAATACATGTAAATCCATGGCTGATTCATGTCAATGTATGACAAAAACCACTACAATACTGTAAAGTAATTAGCCTCCAACTAATAAAAATAAATGGAAAAAAAATAAAATATAAATCCACAAGGCAAATATTTTCATGTTTTGTTCACTGTTCTTCTATGTCCAGTACCTAGAAAGTGCCTAGTTCATAGTAAGTGCTCACAATACTTTTGGAAAAACTGAGGCCAGTCTCAAGTATCGCTCTGTCTGATGAGTTCCCACTCCAGCAAACAGCTTCAATACTTGCAATAATTTTCTCTAACAACCAGTCTTTTCCATATTTGTCATCTCTCCTTTGTGACCTTAAAGTAAGGCAGTACTGCATCTAAATCACCCAGAACTTAAAGTAAAATAAGATTTTTTAAAGCACAGACTGTCTTCTATTTTATATTGTACTTTATAGTATACATATATAGTTATATGTATAATATACATATATTACATCATTTTATCTTTTATGAAACCTGGGGAGATTGTATTAGTAGCCCTTTTCAGATAAGACCAAGGCCAGGCTCACAGAATAGGGACTGAACCTGTGACTTCACCCATAGCACCTCATTTCCTTTTTTACCTTCATCCTCCAACTTAAAAACATATAAATACACTCTTGAAAGTATGACAGGTACTCAATAAAAGCCTACTGATGGGAAACTGCCTCATTATAATTATAGTATTTTAGCGCCAGAAAGGTCTTTAGAAACCCTTTAATTTTCTCTAAATAAAGCTTCTTTAGAAAAAAAAACATATATATATATATATATATATATATATAAGCTTATATATATATATATAAGCTGCAGATCTCTTTTTTTCAAATAGAGCCTCAAATGTAACTCTTAATAGAGGACTTATTTTGACTGAAACTCACATCCAGCTCAGCATCCTGGGACATCAACCTCCGAGGCACTGCCTACTCCAGTCCCTAAAGGGAGAAACTGGCCCACAAAGGTCAAATGACTGCCAAAGGTCACACTGGGAGTCCATATCAGAGAACCTCATCGTCTGATTCCACACCCTAACACTTTCTGAATACCTACTGCATAGTTTTTTCTTAGAGACCACACTAAAGGAAAAATAAATTTACTAGCACTTTACTAGCTGTTTTAGTCTCTCATTCTGAACTCTTACTGTATGGACCAAAGATAATTAGGTGTTAAGTGTAAGCTCAGTGATTGAAGGACTGACTTCCGTTTAGACAATGACACAGAAGTTGCTTTACCTTCAGGAGTGAATGTGAAATAAGTTACCATTACACACAAGTCCAGGTCTGAAGAGGGTAACAAAGCAGAACCCAGTTACTAAATAAAATGCAGCTACTGATGCCCACTGTCTGCTTGAAGGCTGTAAGATAAGTATATTGACAGGTAGGACAGCTTCAGACTTCTGTGTTGCTTCTGTATGTATTAGGTGCTCTCACATTATTTTATTCAATCCTCAACAACTCTGTGAAGCAAGTATAGATATTTTACAGATGGCTTATTAAGACTCACAAATGTTAAGCAATTTGCTCAGGGTCACATGGCCAGTCGGTGGCACTGCCAAGATTTAAACCTAAGACTCCTAAACTCCGGTGTAGAGCACTTTTCACTAAATTAAACCTCTGCAAACCTCACTTTAAACTCAAAGCAAGGGAGAAACACAGTATCAAACTTTCTAGAGAAAAAATTAAACTACTTATGGTAGGTTTTTAGGGGATGATTCTCTAAGGGCAACAGGAGACCTGAGGGCCCATTTTCCCCTCTGCCTATAATTTGTTGTCTGACCTTGGCCACAGACAGAGCAGGCAAAATGGGACTTGGAACTGGGATTCCTGAGACACCTGAGTTCCTCTTCCAGTTCTGACAGGGATTTCCTGTGACCTTGGGCAATTACGTTTTCGGGCAATTAGTTCCACCGAGGAACCAAGGAACTGCAGATGGTCTGCAACCCTTTCCAGCTCTGGCAGGCATCCCAGCTGTCAAGGTGAGATCGCAGGACGCTCACCCACACAAGGTAAAGGAAAGGCGTTGCGGTCTCCCTCTTCCAGTCTCTGGGTGCTCAGGTTCCAAGGTGCAACGTGCCCCGTGTCCTTTGAAGGGGAAATAGCTACAACAGCAGACTAGGAAGCACTCCAAGGGAGAAAAAAATCTGGCAGGAAAATGACCCCGGGATTCCCTCACCTGAGAAAACCTCTCAAGCCCAACGCACGTGCCGGTGGCTAGGGAGGTTACCCTGCCGGGGCCGGAGTAGAGGCCGGGGAAGGCCCGGGTCGTGCTGAGGCGGACTCTATGCGCGATCAGCAGGCTGCAGGGCCGCAGCTTCGGAAATAGGCGGGATGGCGGAGCCTGGCCGGTGGCTCCGGTGACATTCCCGAGCTCCGCGCGAGGCCTGGGCTCCGGCCGGGACAGATGCCGGCGGTGGCACTGGGGTCTCGTCGGGAACAAGACCGGCGCTCCCCGCCTTGACCTTGATGCTGTCCCCGCCCCAGGCGCGACCTTCCGGGCGCGGGGCTGCCTACACACCGCCTGCGGGCCACCAAGCCAGGCGCACGGGCGGCTGGGACCGGCTCCCTGACTGTTCCCAGCCAGTCGCGCGCCGTCGCCTCCCCATCGGGGCCCGCGCGCCAGCCCCCGCCCAGCACCCAGTACGCCCGCCAGCCACATGCGGGCCTGCCCGGCGCTCACCTTGTAGATCCACGCGGGCCCTGCCATCGCGTCCACTCCTCTCACCCCGGCGACAGCGGCGGCAGTAGTGCGCAGCCGCGCAGCCAGCGTCCGGAGCCCGCCCCCTCTTGGCCCCGCCCCTGGAAGCCCCGCCCTGTGGGTTCGTGTAGGGGCTTTTCCAAGCACCCTCCCGGTCCGGGCCCTGGACACCCGGCTCCGCTGGCCAATCGCCGGGCTCGTCTCGCGGCGGCTGGCAGAGCAGCGACCCGGAAGCTGCTGGTGGAGAACTCTGGTAAGAGTCCTTCCTCTCCCGCTTCATTCATAGATTTCAGTGCTTAGGTGGGCTGTTTGTTCCGCGTATACTGGATACCAGTCAATCTTATGGATTTGGAGGATATAGCTTCTCTTACGGAGTTTACAACCTCAGGGAAGGAGATCATTTACGCGTTTCACAAATGTTTTATTATTTTAACAGCTTTATTGAGGTATAACGTATACCCATAACATATACAATAAAATTCACTCGCTGTAATTTCGCGATAATTTTCAATAAATGTAAGCACTTGCACAACCATCACCACAATCCAGTTTTCCAACCTGTGAAAATGCTCTTTGTGCCTATTTGCTGTCAGCCCCAGCTCCCATCCCAGGTCCCAGCAACTGCCAATCTACTTTCTTCAAAGCTCTAAAAATATTTCTGAGTGCCGCCTAGTTACTAGGTACTGTTCTCAGTGCTGGTTTTACAGTCCAGTAGAAAAGACACACCAATCAAGTATGACAGAAATATGTAAATTAAAACTGTGATAAGTATCATGAAGAAAAGGCGCAAGGAGCAATGAGAAGGTAAAATCGGGGGACCTGATTCAAATCTAAGAGAGGGCAGAGGAAATAACGCCCATACTCCCCTCCCTCCTCATCTTCTCAGCAATGAGAGTCCTGAAGCTCTACTGATCAGGGGTCCCCTAGTTGGGTGTCAGGGTGATTTAGACCAAGTCTCCCCACACCCCACCCTGGAAAAGGTTCTTTCCAGAGAAGAGCTACCCATCTCCCTAGAAAAGTGGTGAATTAGGTTGCACAAGTGATGCCAGTGGCTTTCATGAGGTAATCAAGTACTGCTAAGTCTGTGGCTTCATCAGGATCCAGGGACCTCATCACTCTCTTCTTGGCCTTTGCTTTCATCAGGCCCTGGCAGTCCCACCCTAAGGTGTTCTCCGAAGTGCCCTTCCACTCCAGCCCCACTGCCATCACTGCCCTCCTTCAGGACTGACCATCTCATATCCAGACCATGGCAGCAGCCTCCTCCCCTGACAACCTGCCCCTTCCAGTCTTTTCTCCACACAGTCCTCCTTCTCTCACAGCTCTGACCACAGCCAATCCTGGCCCTAACACCTCTTGGCTCTCCCATTCATCTCTCACCACTGTCTTTTATTCAGCTGCATTTCCTGTCCCTCCTTCCAGCCCCAAAGTCCTGGAGTGCCCGCCAAGTAGGGCTCCTGGCCAGCCCACAAATGCTTCCCATATTTTACCGGCCGTGTGCTCATGCCATTCCCTCTGCTTGAATGTCCTTTTGTGCCATTTCCACCTGTTGTAATTCCAGCCACTCATCAAGACTCAGTTCGGATGTTGATTCCTTTGGGAAGTCCCTCAGACTCACAACTGTCCCGTGGGAAAACTGAGGTATACCTAGTAAGTGATGATGCTGACATTCTATAAGATGCCTCCTAATTACTAAGGCAGTTCTCCTCACGGTTAAACTTCCCCTGGGAAGGAGGGTCATTCAACTCAACAAATACTGCCTAAGTGGAGTCCCTTTCAGGTGCACTGTGAAGACAAGGGAATGAATCAGCCCCAGCCTTACCCTTGGAGTCGTGAGGGAGAAACACAGAAGAGATCCAGCCAAGTGCTGTAACAGTTTGCGGGGGTGGGGTGTGGGGGTACGGTGCAGGGCGAGAGAGGGTGTTGATTAGGGAAGATTCCACGGCGGAGATGGCATTTCAATCATCCTCGAAGAGGTCGAGGGCTTCCCTAGTAGCTCAGGTGGTTCATGGGATCTCAAAGAGTCGACAGGACTGAGCAACCAACACTTCCACTTTCACTTTGAAGAGATCGAAGAGGTCAGCAGCCTGAGATGGGGCCCTGAGGAAAGACCAGGGCCAGCCAAGACTTTGAGGTAGAAAAGTGACAAATCCTTGGAAGCTCGAGCTCTGGGGACTGACAAGACCTCAGAGGTTTCCTAGTCTAACTCCCATATCAAGGTGCTTCCTGACTCTGGAGCAGCTGGGACAGCAGGGAGACAGAAAGCTGCCTCCCCCGCAGCCGGGACCTGTTCCCTGAGTCCAGAACTGCCAGCCACTACTCTTCATACACGTTCCAGAGTTCCTCCAACATGCAGGTCACTCTCCTCTGGAAAAACGCCTTTGTCCTGTCTCTTGTGCACTGTAGTGTCCAGAGATCCCACCAGAGAGCCATGTTTGCACCAGACAGTGGGAAAACTTTGCCACTCAGGGGAAGGATCTGGAAGGTGCGCCCTTATTTGTGAAAACAACACTATCCGACCCAGGTGTGCTTCACTCTAAGAAAAATTTTTGCAGCCAAGATGGCAATTTTTTAAATTAGTCAGTAAAATTGGAATATAATTATTCACATACCGAAAGCTTTTGAAAAAATTTTTGCCAAAGGAACACAAAACTATTTCAACAGAATTTCCCTAGTTTATTTTCCTAATTATTAGGGCTTTAGTAAACAAATGGACAAACTGATTAACCAGCTCACAGTCAAAGAAATGCAAGTATTTTATTTTTAAAATATTTATTTATTTAATTTATTTATCTTTGCATCGGGTCTTAGTTGTGGCACACAGGATCTTCCTTGCGGTGCTCGTGGTTCTCTCTAGTTATGGTGAGGGCCTCAGAGCACGCCGACTCAGTAGTTGCAGCACAGGAGTTCTCTAGTTGTGGTGCATGGCTTCTCTAGCTGAGGTTCGCGGGCTGGGTAATTGTGGCACGGGCTTAGTTCCCCCACTGCATGTGGAATCTTAGATCCCCAATGAGCGATTGAACCCGCATCTCCTGCATTGGAGGGTGGATTCTTAACCACTGGACCACCAGGGAAATCTCACAAATAAACTTAAAAAAATTTTTTTTTCTTCTTGTTTTTAAATTTATTTTTTTATTGAAGGATAATTGCTTTACAGAATTTTCTTGTTTTCTGTCAAACCTCAACATGAATCAGCCATAGAGGTATACATATATCCCCTCACTTTTGAACCTCCCTCCCATCTCCCGCCCCATCCCACCCCTGTAGATTGATACAGAGCCCCTGTTTGAGTTTCCTGAGCCATACAGCAAATTCCCATTGGCTATCTATTTTACATATGGTAATGTAAGTTTCCATGTTACTCTTTCCATACATTTTACCCTCTCCTTCCCGTTCCCCAAGTCCAAAAGTCTATTATCTATCTCTGTTTCTCCACTGCTGCCCTGACAGTATATATGTTTTAGAATATGATATTTATCTTTCTCTTTCTGACTCACTTCACCCTGTATAATAGGTTCTAGGTTCATCCACCTCATCAGAACTGACTCAAATGCATTCCTTTTTATGGCTGAGTAATACTCCATTGTGTATATGTACAACACTTTCTTATCCATTCATCTGTCGATGGACATCTAGGTTACTTCCATGTTCTAGCTATTGTAAATAGTGCTGCAGTGAACAATGGGATACATGTGTCTTTTCAATTTTGGTATCCTCAGGGTATATGTCTAGGAGTGGGTTTGCTGGGTCCTATGGTGGTTTTATTCCTAGTTTTTTAAGGAATTTCCATACCGTTTTCCATAGTGGCTGTATCAATTTACATTCCCACCAACAGTGCAAGAGAGTTCCCTTTTCTCCACACCCTCTTCAGCATTTATTATTTGTAGACTTTTTGATGATGGCCATTCTGACCAGTGTGAGGTGATATCTCATTGTAGTTTTGATTTTCATTTCTCTTATAATGAGCAATGTTGAGCACCTTTTCATGTGTTTTTTAGTCATCTGTATATCTTCTTTGAAGAAATGTCTGTTTAAGTCTTTTTCCCACTTTTTGATTGGGTTGTTTGTTTTTCTGGCATTGAGTTGTATGAGTTGCTTGTATATTTTGGAAATTAATCCTTTGTCAGTTGTTTCATTTGCTATTATTTTCTCCCATTCTGAGGGCTGTCTTTTAACCTTGCTTATAGTTTCCTTTGCTGTGCAAAAGATTTTAAGTTTAATCAGGCCCCACTTGTTTACCTTTGTATTTATTTCCATTTACTCTAGGAGGTGGGTCATAGAGGATCTTGCTTTGATTTATGTCATTGAGTATTCTGCCTATGTTTTCCTCTAAGAGTTTTATAGTTTCTGGTCTTCCATTTAGGTCTTTAATCCATTTTGAGTTTATCTTTGTGTATGGTGTTAGGAAGTGTTCTGATTTCATTCTTTTATATGTAGCTGTCCAGTTTTCCCAGCACCATTTATTGAAGAGGCTGTCTTTGCCCCATTGTATATTCTTGCCTCCTTTGTCAAAAATAAGGTACCCATAGGTGCATGGTTTATTTCTGGGCTTTCTATCTTGTTCCATTGCTTTATACTTCTGTTTTGGTGCCAGTACCATATTGTCTTGATGACTGTAGCTTTGTAGGATAATCTGAAGTCAGGAATTTTGACTCCTCCAGCTCCATTCTTCTTTCTCAAGACTGCTTTGGCTATTCAAGGTCTTTTGTGTTTCCATATGAATTGTGAATTTTTTTGTTCTAGTTCTGTGAAAAATGCCATTGGTAATTTGATAGGCATCTCATTGAATCTGTAGATTGCATTTGGTAGTATGGTCATTTTCACAATATTGATTCTTCCTACCCAGGAACATGGAATATCTCTCCATCTGTTTATGTCGTGTTTGATTTCTTTCATCACTGTCTTATAATTTTCTGTGTACAGTTCTTTTGTCTGCTTAGGTAAGTTTATTCCTAAATATTTAATTCTTTTTGTTGCAATGGTGAATGGGATTGATTCCTTAATTTCTCTTT